CTGGGGGGGTGGGGGGGAGGGAACACAATTTGAGGGCCCAAGCACTGAGACTAAAACCCAAGAGCTCAAACAAGTTGGGATTCCCTCCATCTCCCTTAATAACAGCCCCTGGAGAAAGTGCAAAGAAGCCTACCACATTTGCCACTACACAAAGCTACCAACAACTTTTCCCCCTTCTAGCAAACCGGTTACTGTAGTAAAGCAGTTAGTATAGATACATACCATAGGCATATAGATAGTTTAAGCTACACCTTCTATATGGGACTTCTAGGTAAATGAGAATTAAAATCACTGTTACTCAAGGTAACCATTAACACAGGCCCTGACTGCCCGAGGGCAGGCTACAAAAGGGTCCAGATTGTATACTGCAGGAGCTGAAAGAAAGGAACACTAGAGATATGCCATGCAGCTGCCAGAGAGCAGGTGCTTAAAAGGCAGCTCTGGCTTTGCACATTCAGCCAAGTAATGTATAGGATCTAGCTAAATACCAAACCAAAAAGGAAATGCTGGCAGGGCCCCAGATATTCCCATTGCACTTCAATAAGGAAGGAAACACATACTAGATTTTGCAGGTAAATGAAGCAGTGGGCTGTCACTACACCATGCCAGTATCTGTTTTCCATCTGTCTTCCAATTTTTTGTTCCACGTGCCAACAGAGGATTAAAGGAAGACCAAGGTGGAAATGGATTCACCCTTCACTATATTACCAAGAGAAAAAGATGCTTCCATTTCCCTGTTTTAGGCCCCCCCCCTGCCCTGCCCTGCCCTGCCCTGCCCTGCCCCTCCCCCTTGCACAAAGAAAAGACTCAGTTAACTTCTATCTGGTTCATGGGAAGACGGCCATAAAGAGAAGCTCAAATCCATGCACACTGTCACAAAACGGTTTTCTTCATATGGCGTTCTTCACACACACACTTGACAGAAGTGCTGTCTTTTCACTAGTGGGATTTTGGGGGTTATTTTTTTGTTCTTTGCAAAGCAGAGCAGACACCATTCATGAAAGGTAACAAGAACACCACATTATTAAACCTTTGTCTGTAATTATGAGTAGGTGTCTTAACGTCTGCAACAGTCTATTGTTGATCTTCTCTGCTGGGAACATACTTATGTGCAGATTTGCTCCAAGCAGGAAGAAACTTTAAATCACTTTTTATAAATGCAGGATGTTGCTCAGAATGTGTACATGACACA